CTCTCTCTCTCTCTCTCTCTCTCTCTCTCTCTCTCTCTCTCTCTCTCTCTCTCTCGCACCGCTTAACAACAACAGATGGTGGATCGCCCTTCTCCCGCTCGCCCTCCTGCTGCTCCTCCCGCTGCTGTTCCTGCTCTTCCCCCCTTCCTCATCCCGCTCCTCCCACTGCAGCATTCCGTCAGCCTCACCTTCGCGACCGCCCTGCCCCTATCCCTGCTGTTCCACGTACCCCAGGGCCTCGTGTCCGCCTGCGGCCTTCCGTCCGACTGCATTTCACGGGCCTGCACTGTTCCGCGTACCCGCGGGCCTAACGCCCGCTTCCGTTTCCGGTACCTGCCTCGGCCTGGGCCTCGCCCCTCCACTTCTTCCCGTACTAGCCTGTGAGTGGGACTCGACCTGGGCCTCCCCTCCGCTTCCGCACCTCCACCGGTTTCCCTTGGGCCCACGACTGTGCATGTCGCTGGGACCTTTACATCTTTTAAACCACCAGTACTTGGGCGACGCCTTAGCGTTAACGCTACACAATTTCTGCGGCCGGCGGGCCGTCGATAAATCGAATCGACAGCCCGCGCTGCTTCGAGATTTGGGCGGCCGGCGCGGCGCGCAGTGCCCAAGTACTGGTGGTTTAAGAGTATAGAGATAGAGATAGAGATAAGAGTACATCGGTTGCGTTCTATTCGCACATGTCCACTGTAATAGAGAAATACCTTCTTCCCTCAAACATAAAGCATATGCATTTTAATTTTCAAAAGAAAAGAACGGTTGCGTTCTATTTGCTTAGGATAAGTGTTTATTGTATTAGAGAAAGAAGGCAGTAGAGTTTCGAACAGGAGGGAGGCAAGTCGAGACTAGTAGTCTCAACTGTAGCCTATGGAGATAGAGAAAGTGCTTGAACTTGAACGGCTGATAAAAGCAATCATGTGTGTAGTGGTGCCCACAAAAAGTTCTGTTTGATTGGTCATGCAGGTGGGGGTGCCCAAAGGAAGCTACATTTCAATTGTTCAGTCAGGTGGGTCTACTCGAACCAGAGATCAGCAGTAGCCCAACAGCGAAAATAAAAAGGTCAGGGAGGGGTAAGAGGGATTATAATGATATGGTTACTACATCCTAGTATGGGTGGATGTGGGTTAGGCGAAAGAGGCAGTGGTTGGTGACCCCTTCTCCCTGTCACGTCATAGAGTGCCATCCCTCGTGTTTCTTTTGTGTAGTGTACTACTGCCAAAGGGAGTTGTGTCATCAGAATTTCCATTGGGAAAGTCAGAGACGCAACTATCCTAGGAAGACCAAATGTTTTCTGTGGGAGCAAATATCTGACGTTGGACCCGTTTCCCAGCAACTGCTTCCCCCCACCGATAGAATGGGGTCATCTACCAGGGCGAGGCCTCAATTCAGAGGATGCTAGAGAGAGAGAGAGAGAGGAGGGTGGGGGACAAATGAGGCTCATAAAACTGCTGAGCTTCATTCAATGTAGGACGGTGGGACAAATGATGCTCACAAAACTGCAGAGTGAGCCTCATCCAATGTAGGAGTGTGGAGGACAAATGAGGCTCACAAAACTGCAGACTGAGCCTCATCTCTCTCTCTCTCTCTCTCTCTCTCTCTCTCTCTCTCTCTCTCTCTCTCTCTCTCTCTCTCCACATCATGCACGTAGATGCAAAGACGAGAGTGAGAATGAATTCAGAATGTCTTCCACCTGAGAAGAGCCTGATTTTGTAATGTCATATATATATATCCATATAAAGCGATTTCTATCCATCAGAATTCCGAGCTTTTATTCGAATGGAAGACATATAGTCTCTATTCAAGGTGCTATTATTCGAAAAACCAACGGTAGACGCATCATTTGGATAACGTAAATGTAAAACAAAAAAAACAAAAAAAAAAACAAAAACGTAAATGCGTTATCTTCGGGGAAAGCCTGCACGCCAGGTAGCTATCACACGATGCAAGCGGTCCAGGACTCTTCCCTACCGCCGGGGTCTTTTTTTTTTCCCCTTTCACTTGTCTGTAAGCACGCTGTATGGCGGGGAGCATTTCACCCGTCGCCCAGACGTGAGGGAGGCTACCGGTAGTTGGTCTGCTGTGCGGCATGCACAGCACCCTGCCAGCTTTCGTGGCTATCGAACAACGAGGCAACGCGCCTCTCCGCTCCGCGCCACTCACTGCATGTGCAAAGTCGAGCATGCATCTTCCCGTAGAACATGGAAACGGAGATACACCCGCCATAGCTTTTGTCTTTTGTGCATTCGGTGGGGGGTGCAGCTGAGGCCTACCGTCTCCCTGCAGCGATCGCACCGCGGCCTGTGCGACGGCGGCTCTATAGCATGTGCGACGAGGGGGAAGTACAGCAGTGCCTGCACGGGCGTCATAGTCGTAGCACGTCCGTCATAGTCGTAGCACAGTCCTCATAGCACGGCCGATCTATAGCAGTGCCTGCACGGCCGTCATAGTCATAGCACAGCTCTCATAGCACAGCTCTCATAGCACGGCCGCTCTATAGCAGTGCCTGCACGGCCGTCATAGTCATAGCACAACTCTCATAGCACGGCCGATCTATACCACTGCCTGCACGACCGTCATAGTCATAGCACATCCGTCATAGCCATAGCACAGTCGTCATAGCACGGCGGCCTATAGCAATGCCTGCAAGGCCGTCATAGCACAGCCAACTATGGGAGGCATAGGTTGCTCAATCTCACCCAATGTGTCATCATGGCAGAATAGCGAACGCAAAACGAGCGGTGTAGTTCTCTTTGGGATTCATTGCTAATGTTAGCCCCGGGCTATTCGGACTAACTATTCGCTATTCGGGCTAACTATTCGCTATTCGGACTAACTATTCGCCTTCGCCAAGAATAGTGCGGTTAGCGACAATAGGTTAGGTATCAGGTAGATGTTGCACTTGCAAGGGCTGGGAGAATTTCGGGAAGCGGAGTGAGGCGGAGGTGAGGGTGAGGGTGAGGGTACACGTTTTCCTGATCCATGCGTTCCCGGGCCAATAGGGGATCTGTCTGTCAGCTCAGGCGGACGACCGAGCCGGTCCCCGTAGCTAACCCCCGTAGTGAACCCGTAGTTAACCCGTAGTTAACCCGTAGTTAACGCGTAATGAAACCGTAGTTAAGTGCTTAAGAGCAGAGGATGGTTGATGGGTATCAATCGGCCAACGCGGGTTGTGCTGCTGGCAGTTCCTTCATCGTATCTGAACGCGAAGGTAGGTAATCAATTGCAGCGAAGGTAATCAATACAAAGTAATCAACCCGTAGCTAACCCCTGGTTAAGTGCTTGAGAACAGCTGTTATGAACTGCAAAATACCCACTGGCTGAGGGGGTGGAGCAACAAGGTGTGTGACATGCTATTCTCAGCAGGGAGTGGGTGGTGCTAAGATCGAACGTTGAAGGCGGAGGGTGCGGAGGGTGCTGAGGGTAGGGAGGGAGGGAGGGAGGGAGGGAGGGAGAGGAAGGTGCTATTCTCAGGAAGAACACGGAAACAACCGTTGTAGTTGGAGGAGGAGGAGAGGGAGTAGGTAGGGAAGGACAGGAAGTAAGGAGGAGGAGGAGGAGGAGGAGGAGGAGGAGGAGGAGGAGGAGGAGGAGAGGAAGCGGGGAGGAGAGAGAGGGAGGAGAGCAAAGGAAGTAAGGAGTAGCAAGAGAGGAGTAGAGGAAATTGGGAGGAAGGAGGGGAGGTGGCCGAGGTAAGTGGTGATCTTCACAGAGAGAAAGAAGAAGGCAGGTCACCTAGTCACAGAACGAGGGGGAGGGAGAAGGAGGAGAGGAAGAGAAAAGGGAGAAAGGAGGGGAGGAGGTGGAGAGGAGAGGAGAGGAGAGGAGAGGAGAGGAGGAGATGTCGTCCACAGCATGTGGTTTATGTGGCGGTATTCCGTTTGGTGCCACGTCAGCGATTTGTTCTTCCGCGATAGCCTCAAACGTTGCTGCCACGTCAGACTCTAATAAGGATGGAGTGGGTGGGCAATCATTGAAGACACGTGGCAGTCGAGGGCCGCGCCACGTCAGCAAAGAATGCGTCTCCTCTCCTTCTCCTTTGAAGTCATCTTCCTATCTTTGTAGAGGGAGCGAGCATTCTCTCGCTGTGATGGCGGTTGGACGGTGCGACCTAGCCTGCCGACGACTGCCCTACGTGTGCCACGTGGCTGCTGGGTCCATAGCCACCTGGCGCTGTCAGTGCTCATCATCTGAGCCGTTCAGAAGAGATCGCAAACGGCAACAAGATTGTGCCACATGGCTATGTCGATCAACGGAGGAAGAAGTACGTAAGGAACATCTCTCTCTCTCTCTCTCCCTCCCCTCTCTCTCTCCCTCCCCTCTCTCTCTCCCTCCCCTCTCTCTCTCCCTACCCTCTCTCTCTCCCTCCCCTCTCTCTCTCTCTTTCCAACGGGGTCTGTTCGGCCTCCTGCATTCCCGCTTTTTTTCTTTTTTTCTCTCTCTCGTTGTCTCGTATTTCTCTCTCATTCTCTTTTCCTCTCTCTCTCTCTCTCTCTCTCTCTCTCTCTCTCTCTCTCTCTCTCTCTCTCTCCAACGGTCTTCATTCGTCCTCCCGCATTCCCTCCCCCCCCCTCCCCTTTTCTCGCTCTCTCGTTTTCTTCTCTTTCGCTATTTCTTCTCTCTCTACTTCTGTTCTCTCCCATCCTTTGTTTCTCTTGTTCTTTCTCTCTCTCCCTCTCTTTCTCTCTTTCTCTCTTTCTCTCTCTTTCTCTCTCTTTCTCTTTCTCTCTCCCTGTTTCTGCTTCTCTTTCTCCCTCTCTTCCTCTTTCTCTCTCTCTCTCTCTCTCTCTCTTCTCTTCTTTCTCTCTCTGTCTTTTGCTCTCTTTCCGTCTCTCTTCTCTCTCTCTCTCTCTTTCGTCTTCTTGCTGCCAATCCTGTACCCTTGTCTTATCTTAGTGACCATTTCTTCTGTAACTCCTGATCGTTTCGCTCTTTTTATTTTGTTATCTTTGTCTAAGAACAAAATAAAAATAAAAATAAATCTTGGCGAAGTTAATGACTTCAATGAAGACAAAGACGAGTGTGACGAAAGTGAAAAGTACATGACGGATCGAAAAGACCATTAAATACTAACGGGCCTACTGTTGTCACCCGAATAGAACGCCCGGTCATTATCGCCCGCATCTGGACCGAAAGTTGTGCCAAATACAGCTATAATGACCGGGCGTTGTATTCGGGTGAAGACGGTAGCCCAGTCGGTACTCCCGCAAGCTGTTGAAATATATGGACCTGAATGCGAATCCAGATGAAAAGAAAAAGACCATTAATTTCTTGATTAGGCAATCACAGATAGTCCAATCGAGAACATCTGATCTTAAAAAAAAAAAAAAAAAAAAAAAAAAAGAAGAACATCTGATCTTAATTACTCGAATAATCTTGATTGCGTTCTTTGCGTTTCTTGTCCTTCTACTATTGTCTCCGAGAACATTGTTGTCGACGTCTAGCTTTTGAACCACATTCTAGCTGTTGAATGACCGTATTCTAGCTTTTCAACCACATTGTTGTTGACGTCTAGCTTTTTAACGACACATCGCATCCTCTTATCTCATCTCTTCTTCTGCTCGCTTGATACGTGTCTTCACCTGATTTCTCCCTTTTCCAACCGTCGCCCACCTCTCTCCTTGCCTTGTCTTCTCCTCCTCCTCCTCCTCGTCCACCTTCTTCTGTACTTCTCCTCTGTTCTCCTCCTCGCTTGGTCGTCTTTCCCCCATCTCCTCCTCCCCTGCAATTCTTTCTTCTTTCTTCTTCTTTCTTCTTTCTTCTTTCTTCTTCTTCTTTCTTCTTCTTCTTTCTTCTTCTTCTTTCTTCTCTCTTCATCTTCTCCTTCCCCTCTCCTGCCCTTCTTCTCCCCCTTCTCCTCCTCTCCTCCTCTCCTCCTCCCCTCATCTCCTCCTCTTCTCCTCTTCTCCTCTTCTCCTTTTTCTCCTCTTCTCCTCTTTCTCCTACTCCGTTTCGTCCTCCTTCTATGATGGGTGTTATCAAAGTCGGAGCCGTATCAATCAGACCAAAATCACTTCTCGTCGACGTGTTGACGTCATCGTCGGCTTCCGGGTGTCAATATATGGAGCTGCATCAAGGAACGCGAACGTCACGATTTGTAGTTAAATTAAATAATTCGACGAATGAAAACAACAAATAGGCAGTAGGGAGGGAGGAAGGGAGGGAGGGAGGGAGGGAGGCAGATGAGGGACGGTAAGGGTCAGAGAGCGAGATAGATATGCACATAGAAATGGACAAAAATAAACCCGGAAGAGCTTGAAGCGAGCAAAAAAAAAAAAAAAGAGAGAGAGAGAGAGAGAGAGAGAGAGAGAGAGAGAGAGATGTATATTTGTAGATATGTAGATATGTAG